ACTACTATCAGTCACATCATGGTGAAATGAACCTTTATCAGTAAGATCATGGTGGATAGACCAGTATATATAGTCTGTGATATGGTATACACAGATTATTTGTCATGACTCTAATTATGTTACTCATAAAAGTTAATTGTTAATACATAATGTTTATTTTGTTAACAGAGCCAGTGACCAAAGAAGCTGTACCCACTGTAAGTGGAGAGTACAATCCATGGGGTCGCCCTGGCAATGGTGCTCCAATTAAGACTGACAGTGGTAAACTGGTTTCTACAACTGCTGGTGCTATTACCTCAAAAACTATTAACTCCCCATATAATGCTGGCAGATATCAAGCAAAGCAGGAGTATCTGAAAGAACTTCGTAAGTTTGTTATTTTGCTTATTATGGCACTGGTATGTCACCATTTAGTGGTGTGTTTTATTCAGGGTAACAAAATTAACAAACAGCAGGAAGATACTAAATCACAAGTTTAAAAAATTGTTGCCAACTGTCTCCCTAGCATGGTATTAGAAAACATTGTTGCCAACAGTCTCCCTAGCATGGTATTAGAAAACATTGTTGCCAACAGTCTCCCTAGCATAGTATTAGAAAATATTGTTGCCAACAGTCTCCCTAGCATGGTATTAGAAAATATTGTTGCCAACAGTCTCCCCAGCATGGTATTAGAAAACATTGTTGTCAACAGTCTCCCCAGCATGGTATTAGAAAACATTGTTGCCAACAGTCTCCCTAGCATAGTATTAGAAATCATTGTTGCCAACAGTCTCCCCAGCATGATATTTAAAAACATTGTTGGCAACAGTCTCCATAGCATAGCATAGTATTTGAAGCATTGTTATCAAGTGTTTCTAGCATGGTATTTAAAAACACTCTTGGCAACAGTCACTTTCGCATAGTATTTAAAAGATTTGGAATCATTGTTGCCAAGTTTCCAAGCATACTATTTGAAAATATTGTTGCCATCTGTCTTCCTAGCATAGTAGTAGAAAACAATTATGTTGCCAACAGTCTCCCTAGCATGGTATTAGAAAACATTGTTGCCAACAGTCTCCCCAGCATGATATTTAAAAACATTGTTGCCAACAGTCTCCCCAGCATGATATTTAAAAACATTGTTGCCAACAGTCTCCCCAGCATGATATTTAAAAACATTGTTGGCAACAGTCTCCATAGCATAGCATAGTATTTGAAGCATTGTTATCAAGTGTTTCTAGCATGGTATTTAAAAACACTCTTGGCAACAGTCACTTTGCATAGTATTTAAAAGATTTGGAATCATTGTTGCCAAGTTTCCAAGCATACTATTTGAAAATATTGTTGCCAACAGTCTCTTTCGCATGGTATTTGAAAATATTGTTTCCAACAATCTTCCCTGCACAGTATTTAGAACACTAGGAGAGCAGTTAAAAAATATTATTGCCAATAGTCTCACTAGCACAGTATATTTTGAAAATATTATTAATTTTTCTGTATTTTGTTTTGTATTCCTCTTCAGAGAAAGAAATGCATACACAACAACAAATTCGTCATGAACAGGAAGTACAACTGAAGGCAAACTCTGGGGAGGAAGTTGCTGACTGGGTACGAAGAGGTCAGGTCGGTAATCCCAAAAAGGACCCAATCACTGGAACCATGCAACCACATCATAAACAAACTTCAGATATAGTATCACATGTAAGTATTTGATTGGCTCATGTCTGTCACATGAAACATTTCACTCAATTTAATTGGCTGGTTTTTAACAACCACTCAGAGTGTCAAAGTTAACTTGTATCACCATTCTCATAATAGAGATGTTTGTTTGTTTGCTTTTGTTTTCATCAGTAATGGTTGCCCCGGGAATAGCTCCATCAAATGTTTGTATGTTCATGTATCTCACAAAAAGTTATGTTCATCAAATTCATTTCAGAAAAATTATTACGCCTTCCCAAAACATGAAAATTACTGTTACTAATTTTTAAGGCCGAGTAACCAATTGTGATTACTGTAAAATACTTTATTTTTCGCTTGGAATTAATTTTCGCTATTTTCGCTGAAGGAATAATTCAGTGAAAATAAAATCCAGCGAATATACTTTTTTTCCAATATTTCACATTCAACTCATCAAGATTCAATGAAAATAAATTCCATACAAAACAGGCAAAAAGTCTTTTCAGCGAAAATTAATTCCAGCTAAAATAAAGTATTTTACAGTGGTCTTGTTCCATCATCATAATATACAGATAAATGGTGGTGCAAGAATGGCCCAGTGCATCATGAGTTTTATTTCTTTGTGACATAATTCACCTAACTAACAGACTGTGATCACCTGATGTAAAAATAAATAATTTGTATCATCATCACATGATTGATCATGTGACTGTCTATTCAAGTGCTGATTGGTTAAAATTGTTATACTGTGGAATACTTTATTTTCGCTGGAATTAATTTTCGCTGAAAAGGCTTTTTGGGCGTTTTGTATGGAATTTATTTTCACTGTTTTTTGATGAGTTTAATGTGAAATATAGGAAAAAAAGTATATTCGCTGGATTTTATTTTCACGGAATCATCCCTTCAGCGAAAATAGCAAAAATAAATTCCAAGCGAAAATAAAGTATTCTACAGTATATGACTTATATATAACAACAATTTCTGTTAACCGTATTTCTCACAAAGCCTTTTTTCATAATTCCTTTATTTTGTCACATACATGTACATATTTATATTACTGTCAAAAATTAAAAAACAATTTTTCTCTTTTTGTTACGCTCACAGAGGCTTGATATTCGTCGGGATCGATATCCAGATTATCACACTGATTTAGAGCGACAAGCATTTGAAAGATCCAAACAACAAAACGTGGATAAAAAACAATCAGCATTGCTTAATGAAAAGGTTGGTAAACAAATGCGCAGTGATTTTTCTGGTTGACAAGAACTGGTCTATATGCGCTTAGATATGAAACACAGCTGTTGCTGTCATTAAATACGTGTGTCTCACTAAATAAAACATCTTAATACATCTTATGAATGATATTTGTTAGCTAGACATTGCATGCAAAAATGACTTGCACAATAAGAGCTGGGTGGCACATGCAACTCTTAAACATGAAGTGCTATATCTACAACATTTGCACTAAAATTTTAGTCTTATTACGAGTACCTCTTGGTCAAAAAGAGCTACATCTATCTTCCAATCTAGTTGGTTGGAAATGGTTCTCTTGACTCAGTTGGATATTTAAGTTCAATCTGTAAATTTGGACAAACTAAGAAATGTGTATGTCACACTTAGTTGAAACATTTTTTTTTTTTCTGCAAAGTTATTTGTACATGAAATTCCAAAACTATTACTAGTAGGCATCTTCTTGTAACCAGTTACATTCAAAATTAACTGCGTTCTACTACCTGGAGATCATTTGTATTTGTGAAATAATTACTTCGTACATGTGGCACATTCCCATTAATCTTTATCTCCCTGATGTGAGATTTGAGTGTGTTGCATGTACATGTGATGGCGCGATTCACATTATAAGCTGAATTGCAAGTTAATCATATCATTCTTGCTGCTTCAGCATCTCCAGACCATGGACCAAATGTGGGGGAGACCTGGAGCAGGGGCACCAGTTAATCAAATGGACCACAGAAAGCAACCGTTAGATTTGGAGAAAGTTAGAGATCCACAGGTATGTTTCCATGGTTACCATAGATTGTTTCTGCTCTGAGAATTGACATTGTACATGCGTATGTTGTTGTTTGCTTGTGATGTGATGTTTACCTGTCCCCCCCTCTCACAATACATTACAATGAAACATCTTAGATGATGTTAACAGCTGATTGGCTGATATACCTTGTGCTTTGAAAAATCCAATTTGAATTGCATACATAATGAGTTATACAAAAGTTTTAGTAGCTTAAATATGAGACTCCAAACCAGTATCTTATATTATACTTGTGCTAACATGAAGCTGTTGGTGTAACATACATAATAATGCTGAAAACAGGAAGTGAATCATGGAACTACTACTAAACAAAGTTTACCTAACTTCACAAATTAAGCTGGGAATTTCACCTAACTTCACTTATTAAGCTGGGAATTTCACCTAACTCCACAAAATAGCTCCATATTAGAGCAGTGTACTGTTTGTTATTTATGTTTTTCATTATTTCTCCATCACTCAGCCTTCAGAGAAATTCTATCCAACCTGGATGAGAACTGATCTGGGCAAGCCCAACAACAAACCATGGGTTAAAACAAAATCTCTAAATAGGAGATTTCATTCGCCCAAAGAAATATTTGGCACACAGGTACTTTAGCTAGTGTTAAGTTTTTTTTATTTGCATGTTTGTTTTGACTAATTTGCATGTACTTTGCATGTTGCTATTTACTGTTAAGCAATCTCGCATTTTTTGCCTAACTTTGCAAACTTGCATGCAGGAGCCTAACTATATAATATACCTGCTTAACTACATAGTTAGGCAGACCATATATCTGAACTTTCCATCATGGTCAGTCCAGCAAACTACAGAAATAAGGTGGAAAGATTTCAATCTTGTACTTTTTCTCTCAGTTTTGTGAGTTTGCAGTTTTTGATATATACTCTTCTCTACTCTTTTTTGATATACTCTACTGAAAATGAACTTATTGATCAAGTATGATATTTATGGGAATCAAAATGAAATATTTCTGATAAATATATATGATGCATAAGTGATATTTTGAATAGTTTTAATATATCCCAGATAAAATTATTATTATTATTATTATTATTATTATTATTATTATTATTATTATTATTATTATTATTATTATTATTATTATTATTATTATTATCATTATTATTATTACTATTATTATTTGTAATCAAAATCATATCAGTGAAAATATATCTAAGCAACACCAGATTGTAGTAGAGTGTGTAAGTAGATCATTTGTAGCAAAGATGTGATTTATTCAGTCTGTGGAAATATTTGAAATTATTTTTGATTCCTTAATGTAAATCATCATAATTACTTATTGAGTTACCGTAACCTGGATTTTCTTTGAATATCACCGTTTACTTATGTAGTCTGCACACCCTACATTGAATCTGTACTCATTATTTATCAAACAAATTATGCTGTTTTTAATACTCTAAAATGCTGTAATTTGCTAAATTTTCGGTTCTGAAGACTTTTGGTTAAATAAAAGAAGGTCAAAATTTTTTCTTCTGAACATTCGTTTTGTCACGATTGACAAAATAAACTTGTTTTTCATATTTTCTGAGAAGTTTTGATTAAAACCTGTCGACAACTTGTAGAAAATACAACGCTATGTCCAAATGGTTTTAAATCAACAAAGAAATTATAGAAAATAATATATCAAAACGTGCAAAATGTTGTACTCAAATTTTGGGGGAAAAATTAAAGTATTCAAAGTGTATTCCAATGAAATGTTTAAGATCCTTCTAGATACTTTCTTTCACAAAATTATTTTATTTGAAGCACTAGTCATCGTCTTAGTTCTTCCAGAACATTAAGGAGTAGGGGTTCCTTTTTGGATAAACACTATTGTTATGCAAATTGTCTGATATGCCATGATATTTTTCTGGGGAGAACACTGAACGTATTTTTGTTTAAAATATATGTTTATGTGTACATGAAATTTGAACGTTACCATACATAATGGCTCTGGTGCATGCAGTTATAGAACGATCAGGTGATGTTATCACAGTTGGTAATTTTAATTAAAATGTATAAGCAAACTCTTAAGTAGACCTGATTTGGAAAACTATTGGAAAAAGGTATAGCTAAGAGTGCATTATTTTAATGAAAGCCCTGTTTTGTTTTTACAGAGAGCCAGTCTTGTGAGAGCTCCATGGGCAGTGTATACAATCTAAGCAGTCGCCATGGTGATGCTTCCGTCCACTTTGAAGTGCAATCTTCTGAGAAAAAGAACACTTTTTTTTTTGTATTATTTAAATTGTCTTGTAATGAATATTTAATTGTGTTACTGTTTTCAATTGACCAATCAGTGGAGAGATTATAATGTATGCAAAATTAAAACATGATTATTCATGAAACAAACTACAAATCTAGTGTTACTTCTTTCAAATAATCAACAAATGAAAAAAATTCTTGTTTATATGAAAATTTGTATTTATGACCTAAATTTGAATAACTGTTGGAATATGTACCATAATTTTTCTTCCATGTACATGAATTTCATTTTGTCAATTTCTGAATAAGGCATTTACAGTTGCAGCATCCAGACTAAATATGTTATGTTGATATATGTGTTAATATTAAAGCGGGGGAGTCGTCACCTGCGCATACAACAGATGCTTATAGCGTGTCATTTTTTACAAACAAGCGTCTACCCATGAGCCTTTGTATTTTTAGCTTGTGTTGTTAGTGTGTGCAGGTGACGACCTTCCCGCTTTATTGATAGCGGCTGATGGTATCCACGTAATAGCTATTTTCGAGCTTTAGTGCCATCAGTCAGTTTCCATGCATGATTGGGGGGGGGGGTGTTTTCTAGCTCGCGCAATATGTTTGCTTGTTTTCATGGTTCCCAGCATTCTGATGAGCTATCGAATGTTTACGCAACAAAATCACCCCGCTACGCAAACTCCATACAGTTTGATTCATACTTCTTATCATTGTGCAAAAACTCCCATCACCATTCACAAACTATGCTATTTTTTTAACAGATTTTTTGCAAAATGTTTATCTATCCCTGTAGCAAATAGAAAATGTCTATTTGGTTTAAAATGATCCAAAATATGGAAAAAATACTTAAAATAGGCAAAATGTTGCACCAAGATTGAGAATGACAAATCAAATACCAATACTTACATGTATTTGAAATTACTGCTATATCGTAATGCATTAGAATTGTTCTGTCTGTACAAACATTTCTTATTCTGCCAAAGAAGGATCACTTCCAAAGAAAGTGAATCGTCAAACTTCCAGTAAATTTGTTCAAGTGGGCCAAATCTTGAAGTATTTATATATAAACATATTCTGTATACATATTGTGAGTTTGCTTTGTTGACTTTGAAATGTAGTTTTGTGCTGTACTTTGAGTTTTATTGTTGATGTAAACCTGGTGAGGAAGTAATGGAAATTGGAAAATAATTCCCTAAATACTAAGATAGCCAAAATTGAACATTTTTTTGAGAATTGCACATTTGAATTTTGGTGATTATTTTGGGATACTATGAGAATATCGCAAAGTATGTATGAAGGCAGTACAGTGATGCATTTCTGTACTTGCCAGTGTGCATAAGGTATTCTCATTATAACTTATTATTATTATACATCTGTCACCATAATTTTGCAGTATTTCTACGGGGTATTTTCATCCTACCATATAAGGAAATGCAAATTCCAAATATGGAATGATCACGCGCAAAAGGGTTTTCTAATAATAAAAAACAAACATGGCTGCTACCAGGGTTTGACTGGATTGCACACAAAGAAATTCGCTGATCTGTTCTAAACTTTTTGGATTTCGGCATTCTCATGATGTATCCTTGGAAGGAAAAAATGTATAATAATAAGGTTATTACGAGGATACCTGAAAGTATGCACTCAGACATAGACCTCTGCTGTGTGTCGATCAATACTCCCACTGTACTGTCTTCTTGCAAACTTTGAGATATCCTCGTAGTATTCTCATAATATTGTATATTTTTCCTGCTTGTAGTAATAATGTAGTGAGCGATAATAGCCGAAATTGCAACAAAAAACTTTTTGTGCTGTGCGAACCCTTTGCGTTCAGTGATAGGATTCTATTTCTGTCACATGTTTCTGCATCTGAAGTTAACAAAGGAAAATGTTTGAATGTTACATATACAATTTCCAAATAAGGAAGACAATCGAACACACTTGTAACACTTTCGAACATGTTCGTACTGCGTTTCACGGACAAGTGAATTCTATTGTTCTCAATGTCAGATGTATAATAATGAATGTTTTAGATGATTTGGCTAAAAGATTCCTGACATTTTTGTCCCATTTGTTGCATGTCCGTCCATACACAGTGTTCCAATAGTCACAATTTCAATCTGGTAAATGAAATTGTATTTATTCCAAAACTTTTTTTATTTTTCAATGTTACTTCGCACATGAGGCAATATTTTGAGTTTTTTTTTTTTACTACTGCATGTGTGTGTTTTGTAAAAAAAGACAATTTATGGTAATAATAAAATAAAAGTTTATATCTTGTATTTAATATTTGCATTTTAATTCGAACTGTACAGTTTTCTCTTAGTTCCAGAAGTCGGCTTTATCTGATACTAAGGTGAAATTTAGGTTAGTAATCCTCTATTGCTTTTACGAGTACTCCGTTGCTGGACAATTTTTACACTAAATGTTTCTGAGTATTCAACCAGTACGTGTTAAAATTCAGCTAGGATCCAGTAAAATCCCATTCTTCTTGTTAATTGTCCCAAGAGTATATAGTAATTGTGTCATTAAGGTGAAAATAAAGAGGAAGTTTTGCTGTGCTCAGAACACGCAAAGGCTGACATTACACATTCCACAGCAGCTACACAATGTGATTGATTCACATCATCCATTGCGCTACTGTAAAATACATTATATTGCTTGGAATTAATTTTTGTTATTTTCACTGAAGGGATGATTCAGTGAAAATAAAATCTAGCGAATATACATTTTTTCCTATATTTTACATTCAACTTGTCAGAAATCAGTGAAAATAAATTTCATACAAAACACCCAAAAATTAATTCCAGCTAAAATAAAGTATTTTACAGTATCTAGAACTCAATATCTGTCATTTGCTGTCCACTGATTTGTGCAGTATTGTTGGCAGAAATCACTGAATGCCTTCAAAAGTATAGACGTTCCCAAAATGTATATTTACTTAATTTAGGATATAAATTTAATGTTTTGGACAGTCTCAACGTTTTATCACAAGGAGTGTAACAATTGTATAATTGTCCAAAAAGTTTTTTTTGTATCTACCTCTCGTGTATAATGGACCATGTACGCATAGAGCTGAGAACAGTCACTGGTGGTGCTATATACAATGAAAACCTATTTAGGCTTGCCAATGCTCACACCAGCAAACAGTGTAAAAAGCCGAAACACTTGTTAAATTTGGTGACCAGTTTAGTATGAGAGAAAGCGCGTACAGTCTTAAAATAACCACAATAGAGTGGGGGTCAATACCGAATATACATGATTCCGGCATTTCACAATAAAAGCTTTCTATTAATAATTGCACTTTAACATACTATTCATGGGATATCTACGTCATAACCTCATTAAAGTTATTAGCATATTTTGTACGCAGTGCACATTCTTCAGGCCCTTTTTCCCCCAGTCTTCCGTAACGCATGCGTCAATTGCAGTTTACGTTTTATGCAAGGTAATGTTCAGCACCATCAATGAGGTTTGTCAATCAGACCTCATTGATGGTGCAGAACGTTGTGTTTGTATTCAAAGCCCACACATAAGCGACGCTACCAGATATATATACACAAGCTAATAAGCTTCACCAACCCAACGACTGCTCAGTTAGCAAAAGATTTGTACACACTCCTACCATGTCATACGCTGTAATATGCAATTACAATTCTAATTCTGGTTCCCCCAATAACTCTGGGTAAATACAAGTGTATATTGTCAATGCCAGTGGAAATAATATTAAGCGTTTATAGGGCATTGGCAATGTACATATGAAGGTCATTTATTAGCGAGGTTATTCCATTCTGTAAATAGGTGGCGAAGCAATTTGCAATTTTTAAGAGCTGTCCACTAATAAAACTAAAAGTTTCAATATTTTTTTAAAATAATACATTAGGCTCCCTGTGGTTTAATATCAGGTCAGACTTATATACATTGACCTAACATTAAAGCGCGGTGGTCGTCGCGCAGCGAGTGTTTGAATTTCATGTAAATAAACAATATATTTTACACGTGCTGTATACGTCGCTACGAGTCCCATTTCGAACAGGACGCGGCACGACGACTGCCGCTCTTTAATCACTGACAGCATAGCATCCGACTCTATCATGATCGCGACGCTAGTTCAAATCTTACCCTGGGTTGAACACAGTGACCTCTACCCTGAGCCAGTGAGTGACTTTGTGAAAGAATTGAATAGGGTCTGCTTGGTGTTGGTTGGTGACGGGACAGCACTTTAAGTAAATATATGGTTTTATCTACTATAGACACTTGCAGAGACAATACATGTACAATGTTAGGAACGGTTGCCTAATTAGAAAACATTCCATAATAATTAGGGAGACCCATATATAGGAAATTAGATTAAAAAAGGGTTATGCACAAAGGATTCTTATATTTTGGAATTCTTTGCCATGGTAATAAATTATTACAACTATCATTAGGTTATTTACAGTCTTGAAAAACAAGAATCAATTTGCTGATGATCAGTTACTCAAGTGTTTACTTATTCCTTGAATTCTTGGATTGTGATTCATTTAGGTCTTTAGTTGTTATTATATGAATACTGTCTTGAATATTCAACCAAAATCAAGATGAGTTTTGTGCTGAAATGTTGTACCATTTCTTGCACATTTTCGTAACCCTTTAAAGAAATAGTTGCACAGCACGAATGTTTTTTGTTACCAATTCGGACTGTTATCTCTCATTATACTATTATTACAAGCTGGAAAAAGATAATAATGTCACAAGAATATTGCAAAATATCCATTAGGCAATACGGAAATAAACAACCTCTACTGAGCCGGTCGATATGATCTTACTACCCTCATTAATACTTTACAATATTCTCATAATAACCTACTATTTCCTCGGCTCATACATACATACACATCAGAATTATGAAATAAAATGGTTTAATTCAGTCTTCTTGAACATTTTGATTATTATGTCATTAAAGCGCGGTGGTCGTCACGCAGTGTGTGTTCGAATTTCATGTAAATAAACAATGTATTTTACACGTGTTGTATACGTCGCTATGAGTCCTATATCAAACCGGACGCGACATGACGACTGCCGCCCTTTAATGTAAATGGCATCACACTTCAATTCAGCACTGTATCAACATAAAGAATCGTTGGTGACATGTTATGTGAATACATACACATTTTTTCTGCTTGGAATATTAAAGAGCAGTGGTTGTCATGCTGTGCATGTGTGACATTGATTTTCCCACAATCCAATGCACTCTTCTAATGGGAATCACAAGAACGAGTTTGACTTTGGTGTGACTTGCACTAATTTACGCCGATGACTCCTTCGATACCTTCCAATCACTTAAAAAAAATACCTAACTAAAGCTTGGTAACATCTCAGTTTGTACTCGTTGATATGCGCAACAGTCATATGTATATTATACAAGACCATTATATTTTGTGCATGCGTGGCGTAACAACTAATGCCCTTCAAGAAACAGTGTTTCACATACATATTCTGACATACTAAGTGAGTATGATGTTTAGAAATCAGAAGCTGATAATAACATATTTACACCTGTCATCTGCATTCAAACTAGAAATTTAAAATGTACTAATAAACATATATTAAACATGGATAGTATTCTTGAAATATTAAAAAATCAAGTTTATTATTTTTTTTAAATTCTGAAGCCTTCAGGGTATATTTCCGACATAAATGGTATATCACTCCCTAGTGATGATAACAAACTTGTACTTATGGAATGTTATGATGTATACTGTCGATAGACGATTCTAGAATAATGGTATACTAATACTGAATATACATAATACAAAACTTAGAGAAAAATGGTAAAGACAGAGAAGATGAGTAATACATTTTTGAAGGTTTGTTGGTCTCTCTCTCTTTAACACTTCTTAGAAGATAACAAGATTAGGGGTGTACCATCCCACTTGGAGGGGGGGGGGGTAATGGCAGAAATGAAAAAAAAATTGTAAGAAAATAATCATGAAACAAAACAGGGATCCATAACAGAAAATAAAAAAACAAACACAAAACTAAGTGAAGAAAAACAATATTTTGCATAGTTTTTCTGCTATGCTGTAAACCTTTTCTTGCTCGCCATTATAAATTTTCTTGATTTGATACAATGTAAATTGAGGTAATTATTTGAGATGACATTTTATGAAAGTTGCTGTGACTCCCTAGGACCCCAGTGAAAGTCACTTTGCCTCCCTAGCTTACCAGTGACATTTATTGTGATTCCCTTTCTGGAGATTCTAATGAAATGTTTACTGCTACAACATTACTGACTTAAATCTTTGCAATTATGTTTACAGAATATATAAGCAAATACAAATAAAACATATTAAAGATTTGATCAGAAAAAAAAAAGAAACTAATTCAGATGATTGTACATATTCATTTTCATCAGCTTTCAGGTGAGATGACTTCTTTTTTATCATTGCTGTCTCTTTCCTGATCATCACCACTTTCTTGGTCTTTCAAGTCTACATCCTCTACTTTTAATACATCCCCTGAAATGTCTTTCACTTCTTTCAATTCATCACTACCTTCTCCTGTCTCTTGTTTTATTTCTTCCTCTTTATTCGGTTCCTTCTCATCTTCAGTTGTATCTTTCTCATCCTTAGATTCTTTCTCAGATTCTAAGGTAAAAAAAGTTATTATTGCAGTTATCATCCATTGAGAGAAATCATGCAAAGGGAAAGCAAAACAAATGAATGTACAGCATTGTAGATTAGTTTCAAAGTAAGAAAATATAGAAATGTAAGTGGTTCCAACAAAACAAGAATGTCACAGCCACCTTTTCGTTCAGTACATGACAAATGAAATATCAGCATATGTATGCTTCTTTTTGATGCATGTACACTATGTACCAGTTCTACACTAATGACTTGGACTGCCAGACAATTTAACATGTGTGAATCTCTAAAAATGTAAAACATATACTGTAAAATACTTTATATTAGCTGGAATTAATTTTCACTGAAAAGACTTTTTGGGTGTTTTGTATGGAATTTATTTTCACTGATTTTTGATGAGTTGAATGTGAAATATAGGAAAAAAGGTATATTCGCTGGATTTTATTTTCACTGAATCATTCCTTTAGCGAAAATAGCGAAAATTAATTCTAAGCGATAATAAAGTATTTTACAATATTGCAATTCATTGTGGGAGCAGACACACTTTGTGATTGGCAGAGTTGTGTTTGATTCGGCTGTAACTATCCCAAAATACAATTTAATTTGGAATTGCAATATGATTTATGGCTGCCAATCAATCAAGCATCTTGAATTGTATTGTAACACAAATCAACTTTCATTGATGTGCTAGAACACAATCATCTGTGAACCAAGTGTGGATGTAACTGTAAAATCTGTATTTTTAGAAGCCGTGGCTTCTATTAATATCGTACAACGCAACAGAGGGGATGCTGCTTCTATTACAGCATCTACACATATGAGAAATAATGAATTTTTGATTCTCAATTATTCAAAACGAATGGGTGTGACTTCTATTAGAGATGCGGCTTCTAATACAAATTTTGCAGTATTGGACAGTGTGAAATGTACAAAAAAGACGGAATGCACACATTGCAAACTAAAACCAAAATATATCCAATGCTAAAGTACAGCTAAGATGACATTATGACCATTCACAATTATGGGAAATGGCAGAATCCAGGTACGAGGTAATAATACTGATGATTGATTGATTTATTTTATTCAAAATATCAGAATATCAAACAAAATACAAACAAATATAACGCTACAACTTTATTAATAATTATTTAATACAACTTTGTTTTTGGTGCATGTAATTTATAGACCTTCTTAATCAGAATCTGCACATTTTTGGGTCTAAAATGGATGTCAAACAGTCAAATTTGATCTAATCACAAAACAACTTCACGTGAATATGTATACTTACATGACATGTATGTTTACAGAATTTAAATAGAATCCATCAAAGTGTGTCTGAAATATGACTATGCACGAACACACACACCTACTTGCACACACACACACATGGAACCAAAATAACTAGTTTCCGTTTATTAATTAAATAATTAACTAATTATAGACAAAAAGTACGGTATCCAAAATGTTGCACCAATATTTTTTCAGTGCATTTGGGTGTTCAAAAAATTAATTATGAGATTAAAGATAAAGCATCATCATATATAATTTTTAATCTTGAACTTCGTGATAAATACTAACTATGACAGCGCCCTCACTTTTCTATTCATTATCTTACCCAGCTTTTGTTTTTCTCTCTCCAACTCCAGTTGCTTCATTTTTTCTTCCATTTCTTTCTGTTTCTTGTAAAGTTCAGCAAATGTCTTACAGACCTTCTTATGTGTAAACCAGTGAAGTTTCTGACAATTTTGGCAACAGTAATTAACCTATGCATATGGAAATTAACATTTTAAATCCTGTGAACATATGGAATGGTACTGCTAAAATATTTGTAATGGGATTTTTCTGAAATTTTACACAACTATTTTCTGTGACTAGCTCAAGTCAAACAAGTAAATTTTTCAAGATGTATGTATTCTGATGGTTAATACTTCCATTAAGTTTGAAGTACCCGGTACGGTAAATCAGCCAACACATGCCCAAATCTGTCAAAACACAAATGTATTTTCACAATCAAAAATGGCCACCAGTTGACCATCTTTGACCTAATCATGAAATCATCACATTTGCATATGTATCAAATTAGGTGTTGAGTTTGTGTAAAGTTTGTAGAAAACACGTTGGGCAAACATTTAGCTGATCAGATCCATGTTAATGATTATCTATACATACTTACCATCTTGCAAGCAGAGCATTTCTTTTCTGAGTTTTGATCACCACATGTAGCACACACGTTCTCATCTTTAAAACCATGACTTCCGTTGATGCCTTGTGTTAAGATGCACAAAGCTGATGGATCATCGCCCTGTTATACAACAACACAAACATGTCAGATAAAAATCAATGTATTCCTCAAAGTACTCCAGGAAAAACCCCAGTAAATTTGCAAATTTGGTGATGAATTCAATAACGGTTTGGAAAAACAGGGAAAGCAGTAATACATTCTTTCAATATATAAATATGACATCGAAAATACACCACAGCAATAATATTCAGCTAGTGAAAAAGTTGTGAATTATAAATCATGATGATAAATTTTAGACTCTTGCCAATGAAGTCAAAAGAATTTGAACTTGAAAACTTGATGAGAATAAACTTGTCAGTTTTTATTTCTCACTAAAGTGGGAATAAATATCAAGTATTACAAACTACATTCTGTGATTATGGCTAGTTTTTACTCCAATCTCATACTCTTATTTTCAAGAGTGAAGTGAAATAGACATGAAATAGACCATTTCCAAACTTTCCAAAACGGGCGTTACGTGTAAAATCGTACATAAAAACAAGACAAAGGTTGTAGCGATGTAGTGACATGAAAACATTTCATTGGTTACAACAAACACTGAAGTTTTTTTGTTATATTTTCACGTTTAATAGCATGCAATACACACACACACAATTCCTGATAGTACCGTAAAAACCCTCAAATAAGAGCCACTTTGTAACACTTTCATTTCTGGGTGGTGCTTATTTGAGGTAACATTTTGACAACTTTGTAGCCAGTGGCTCTTAAACCAGGGTGATCAAACTTTTTCATTGTGAAATGGGGAAGGATAGGCAAACACACACACACAACCAAAACAGACAAATAATTATTAATGATGTATCATTGCATTAATTTATTCTGTAAAAATACTGTTATGGGATAACAATGTCAAATAAATAGACGGCTGCTCGCCGACGTGCT